ACATCTAAAACGTAATTTTCAAATTAATTAAATGCGCGTTGCCTGTGCGATTTTAATTGCATGTTGCATGCAACATAATATTACGTTTCATGCACATTCGTTCTCTCCTTCTTCTTCTTCGTCTTCCTCTCTTTCCTTTTCTCTTTCTACCTCTCTCTCTCTCCACCGATGTTCTCTTCGCACTGATGGCAAATTGAGTTATGCCACAAAATTTATATCGTGCCACTCGAAATTCTCTCAAGTTTCACTTGCATGACTACGATAACTTTTGCGGCTTTTTTGCTTAATTGTCCCAAAAGATTATGGCTTTATCGAGACGATTTCATAAGCCCATTTATAAGCAGCCCTAATCTCGGCGTGAGCCCACTCTGCGAGCGCCCTGCCTCGGACCGACCGTTCTGCACATTTGGTCTCCTTTTAATGGACGTGCGGCCATTTTGAATTCTGATTCTGTCCCTGGAACTGTAACTGTAACTGGAACTGTCTCCTACTGTAACTGTAAGTGTAGGTAAATCTGACCATTAGCTCAGCGGGAGACTCGTCGCGCCGGAAGCGCCTGCTGTCTCCTAAGGCCTGTGTGTAACCTTTGAACCATTAAGATAAGCGGCGCAGCAAAAAAAAAAAACAAGAAAAACAAAAAGAGGAGAAGACCATGCGAAAATCGAGAAGAAAATGAATAAGAAAAAAAAATTGGGACACAAAACGTGGCTGACAAACAAAAGCGCACAAATGAATTATATGACTCGCCGTGGCTCTGGATACCCTGTATATGTCAAGGCAAAGGGCATGACAGCTGTTACGATTACATGCGAAATTCTGAATGTTAAAGACAATAAATAAATACTCATAAAATTTTTATATTTTTCTTGCCTGGACAAATTATATAGAAAAATAATTTTAAAAAAATCCCCTCTAAAAAACAATTTTTGTTGTCATCAGAACGCTTACGAATTGTAGTCAAATCTTTTTTCTAGACCCTCTCTTTATGTCTCATTTTAATTATTTCGCTTTAAATTGTTTTAAATAATTTTTTATAGTTTTTTCTTTATTTCTTTATTTTTTATTATTAATTGTCTTCCGCATCTTTTGGCATCAATTTCTCTTTATTTAGAATTTGTTCTTAATAAGTTGTTACCCTTGCATCAGCTAAATACGTCAATTAATAAATTGCTAAATACACATTTAACTTTTACTTTAACCAATTCCTCGACAAAAGAAACACAGGGTAGCTGACCGTTGAGTTATTTGAAGTTATTCGCCTATTTTTTATTTGTGTCGGCGTCTCATTAGCGCGGGTTCGCCGGCCACAATCGTCGGCAAAGTTTTCCCATTATTTATACGTCCAGCAAGTTGTGGCCGTAGATCTTGAAGGTGCTGCGTACAGCTGTGGGCCGCAGCGAAATCGCAGAGACGCCGCTTAAGCTAAATCGCACATTGAAATCCGGAAGACCGGAATCCGAAAACCGAATTCAAAATGCAAATCATTACTTTGGCTAGCTGCAGCTCCAACAGCTGCATCTGCTGCATCAGCTGCATGCGAACGTGCTTGCTGCTCTCTGGTGTCTGTCTGCCTGTCCATTTCACTGCAGCACAGTTTTGGGACCGTGGTGCTGCATGCCCACGTCACATTGGCCCAAGTATCGCACTCGGAATAAACTCATTGATGCGCATAAGTCAGTGAATCGAGTCCGGAGTCGGCAAACACGAAATCGAGTCAGAGTCACAGTCTCGCACTTTGCCGACATCCACTCTGCATGCCAAATCACTGCAGTAGAAAATTAGAAAATTGTTCCTTGTTTTAGCCAGCAAAGCCCTAACTGGCAAGTCCAGAGAGCGAATTGTTCATTTTGCATACAGCTCAATCCAACACGTAGCTGCATATATCGCGACAGATTTAATTTTTTTTTTTTAACTTTTCAAACACTGTTGAAGATTTGGTAGAGCAGTTGCCAATAAAGTCATAGTGTAGTAAAAGACGTGACAAGCAAACACTCGAGGCAAGGGTCGCAAATTGCAATTAACTTTAGACGCTCTAATTAACCATCCCGAAAATAAGAAAAAAACCCACAAAAGAACGTGAAGCGCGCGTCGAAATCCGCTTTAAGCGCACAATTAGCTCAGGCACCAAGAAGCGACGCAAAAAAAATATGTGAGGAAAAAAAAACCAAAAAAAAAATAATGACACTACAGCGTGCTTTACATTTTTAAGCATACACTAACCACCCTTAAACCCTCACACCTACACACCCGCTCACCCTTGACGACTGAGGCGCCAATTAGCGTAGCCACCGCCCAGCCCTCATTCACCGAGCACATTATCAATTGCTCACATCATCAATCAACGGCTTTGCAGGTGTAAAACACCCACCAATGCTTATATATGGGTGTGTGTGTGTGTGTTCGCTTGTGTTTGTTTGTGTGTCTATCGCACTCTTGTCTGCTTTGCCATCGCACATAATTTGTTCAAAATAAACAGAGATCTGACTAATGATAAATGAAATTCAACAAGCGTGAGGAACACGCACCCTAAATATATTTTACTGGCACCCATTGCTAGGTTGCCTAATACCCTGTTTATTTAGAAAAAAAAAACGAATAAGTGTAATTCCTTTTGAAGTCTTTGCAAAAGGAAACTATTTATGTAAAATACAAGAAGTCATCAATATTAATCATTTCGCTAAAATGTTAACAACTGTCAAAGCAGTTTTTAAGGCACATGAAACCTTTAAGCTTGAGTCCAAAGATTTTCTTGACAATATTCCCCATAAAATTGTGTCAAGTGTACAAAAATGGATTTTTGAACCATCCTTAACTTAATACACAGAAATATTTTCAAAGACATTTGCCACTTCAGAGTTTGAAAAGAATAATCGTATGTATATGCTTAGTGTTCATAAATATTTTGGGTTTTAAAATTCTATGATAAAATGTGGATTTTAGAAGTTTAATTTTGATAAAAAAAATTACTAACTGATGATCTTATTTTATATGAAGAGTATGTCAATAACAGAACCAACAAATCTTTGGCTTATAATTGTTTAAATCTGTATACTTCACTCGAGTTTTACTATACAAATATTAGGACTAGAAAATAAAAAAAGTCAAATTACAGACTATACGCTCGCTTATATCGATAGATGGACAGCTAGGGTATTCCTTATTCAGTATGTCTAAATATAGTTTGTGCCCTCATATCTTATCGTAATATGCAAAGACAAAAAACCGTGCGTTCGTAGAATGGTTTTCGTGACGTTACAATAATCACTTTATTTAATAATACGCGTTTATTTAATAATAAACGGAATAAGTGATATGCTTTTTAAACGTATTCATATTAATTCATAATGCAAGTCAAGTTTGCATTGTGAACTTTTAGCTTGGACGCAAAGGCGGAGCCGTTGAAAAATGCTGTTTTAATATGCTCGCCCACGAAATAATATGGCATAAACCTAAAACAAAATATATACATATATATTAATGGAAACTCTGCGAAAGCGGTGAGTTGCTAGGAATGTTGGTAAGAAAGCAATGTTTGCAGCACCCTTTCATATAATTCGCACTTCATTTAAAAATAACTTTTAACTTGATTAAAAAACTGCGACAACAAGCGGCAAGCGGAATGTGACAGGCGGAAGGAAACAGCAGAAACCATTTTCCCCCCCTCATCTACGCATATCAAGTAGGCGTGCGGAAAGTGCAAAGTGAAATCTTATGCAATTAACTTAAGGCCAACTTGACTTGAGCCAATGGAAAAGTGCGCGCTAGCAACTCGGTAAGAGAAAGGGGCATGGAAGAGGAGTAGTGTCGTTTGAAAAACTAATTGACATCGTTGCTCTGGCAGCACTGACAGTTGCCGCTCCTTTTGGAACCCGGGACGGAAGGAGAAAAATGTCTCGCGCAAATATTTTCACAGTTTCAACTTCTTCTTATTCAGCTGGGCGTTATTATTTTTTTTCATTTTGTGTCGACAGTTTTAATTTAATTTTTACCCGAAATCAGCGCCATGTCGTTCAGTGCAGGCGCCAATTTTAGCGCGTCCCTTTGCGGCCTGTCTACCTCAAAGCCAGGCCCGACTGGTAACCAACCAAACCAGACCAGACCCGGAGTAACTATTGCCGGTGCCATTAAAAAAGTTTAGTCCGATTTAAGCGCGCACGCTTAATGGCTATGATTTTAATCAGTAAAAATGTGTTGAAAACCAGCTGGTTGACTTCAACAAGGCAAGCAACAAACTGGAACTGGAATCTGGCATTGACGATGCCACCAAATTCTGCTCTCAGTTTCTCTCCCTGCTTGGCTTTGGTTATTGTGGCGCTTATGTACAATAACTTGCACATGCCGTCAGGAAGAGTCCGCGTCCATGAGTTGCAGAGTTGCCAAAATCTTTTCTGTTCCGGAGCAAACGTTACGCAGTTCTGTTAAAAGTTCAGCGTATTAAAAAGTTTTATATGTGCAGCAGCGAGAAATTGCATTAGCCGCAGGCGCAACTTTATGCAAACCTTATGCAACATATTCTTCTAACACTGCCGGAAGTTTTAAAATCCACAAAAGTGAGAGAAGTGCTGTTATGCAAGCAATAGATTTTCAGAAATGCAGCATTTATTTTAGAATTCAAATATTTGGCGACTATGAGGCAAGCAAAACAAGAAATTATTATTTAGTGTATCGTGAATAAAAATTAGAGCCAGTTTGGCTCTGACTCTGGCTCTGCTGTCCATCTCCCGTGACTTGTTCCTGGCAGCCAGGTCCAGTTTGTGTTTGCATCTGTTGGCCATCCATCGAAGTTTGAGTTCCATACCCATTAGATGACAATGGCCAGTAAGCGGAAGGCCACGACCAGACATTTGCACAACTTCGTTGGACGTAGCAATAGTAAAGTCTTGTCAACAGACAACAGCTTTGACCCGATCCCAATGCTTGAACAATTGACTTCATCATAACCATTTTTACTAAATGCTCATTTATTTTTTTGACTGAACTCTGGATACCCTAGATCGCAGTTAGACGATGCTAGCTGCCGTCGTAGCGATCACAACTGGACCAGCTGAGCTCGCAGCTGGCACAGCAGATGAGGCGACAACAACGCTAGCAGTACTTGCAGAAACACTTTGGGTAGTACTAAGGGGTGCTGCGGTCGTCGAGAGGGGAGCAGCAGCCGTTGTGGGAAGACCGTTTCTCAGACAGTTGTCGAGGAGTTCGTAAGTGGCAGCCGTATCGCGAACATAGTTGCTTTCCGTGGTATTGGTGCACTGGTATTCCAAATCCTGGTTGACTTTGATTGCCTCAGCGAGAGTGTTTGCTGTACTCGCCGCATTGGTGGCAATGTCATAGATCACAGAGACATCGCCCTGGGCCTGGTGGCAAGTTGTTGTAGTTAGATGAGCATGGTTAAATTACTTCACTTACCGCATTGGCATAGCAGGTGAAGAAGCCAGTAGTGTCGCTGTCTGTCCCATTGTCGCAAGTGGTGAAAGCGCTGCACATTTCGGTAACCTCCTGCTTATACATTGTCTGATCCTGCGTTGCCTGGGCCGTGATATTGGCCAGCTTCGTATTGTATGCTGTTATGCAGTCCTGATACGAACTGGAGAAAGTGGCAGCCACCTCATTCAACATGGGCATGTACAAGGAAAAACACTGAGTGGTCACATCCGCTGACAAAACATCCAGATTGTTGGCATTAACCAGATATTTATCCAATGCACCCTGCAATTGAAGTTGCACGGAGCTCGGCTTCGCCTAGAATGCAAATCAAATTAAAATTTCACTTGGACTTGTTGTTCGTTAGTTAAATGCACTTCACAATTACTTGAATAGTGACGGCGACACTGGCCAGGATTAGCACACTGCACAGAAGTTTCATGTTGAGGCTGTCGTTGCGTTTCGCAATTACTACTGTTTGTGTCCTCCAGTTGGCGCTAATGCTTTATATATAGTCCGAAGCACGTTCGCTAAAATGATCGATATATTTGCAGGTGAATTTTTTCCAAATTGCTTCAAGTAGGTGCTGAACCTAAAAGTACATCATCAGGTGAATGGTGTGAAACGCGTTATTTTCGTCGATCAATTAGGTGGCATTAAATTATGATTGAGGCCTCAAATTACTTTGCATGTGAATTTCAATTGGATGCCAACGTAACGCCCACACAAAACAATAACACGGTCAATATCCAAAATGACCGTACACAACAACAAACACACACATACACACACACATACGCACACATAGGCCAACTCCTTGATAAGCGCTCTCAACTGGTTCATACTTATTACAGCTAGGGCAAAGTGCGTGTGTTCGCCTGGTTAGCCTGGCTAATGAAATATTAAGCCAATATATGCGCCAATTTGTCTACTATTCGATTGTTGGCTTATCGGCTTTGTCATTTTGCGTTATCGCATTCATAAATAATGGAAACTATGCCGAAAATTCTATTATGCTGTAACGTAAACAAACGAAAAGATATTTGGAAATACACATGTACGTATGTTTATAAATAATTTAACAATGAATTCATGAAAATATATGAATATTTGCGGTTTTTTCTTTTATCTAATCGAAATTCTTCGAGTGAACATTTATAAACCTGACAAAAAACAAAAATATATTTGATGAGTTATAAAATTAAATCTGTATTAAAGATACAAGATTATTTGAGTAATTTTGAATTTCGAATGCACGATTTTAAATATAAATAATAAAAAAATAATTGAAATAATCACGCGCAAAGGAGTTTTAGATAAAATATGGAACTACATATATATATATATCGCAGTGATTTATCAAAAAAAAAATATGGTTCATAATATTAATCAATTAAATTTGTATTAGAAAAAATGTTCAAGATGATAATATTGAAGAATCTAATTGAACAAAAATAGAAAAGAAACTATTTTGGGCATTGCACTGTTTTTGTACCCTTCTTCTTAGATGAGTAGAAAATCGCTCAGCAGCTACAAAATATTTAATTTTTCCTACAGTTATTTCATAATTTGTAAATATGCCTTAGGATCCATAACAGCTTTTTGTGCACTCAAAAATATGCAGCACGTTTTTAGGGACTACAGTTTATGAAGCACTGAGCTTTTTCTGGCCTTAGATAAGAGTAACCCCAGCAACAATTCATAAACAAACAAACCATGAATCAATGTCAGTTTAATTAAGAAGCTCAAAAGTTGAACTCATCAGAATTTTCTCAGTTTCATGTTGGCCAAAAAGCAAAGCAGACATGAAAATTATATTCTTAACTTTGCTATTGACTCAGTTGATGGTAATTATTAGTTGAAGTGTAAAGTACCTCAGTTTCAATGAAGTTTTTCAGATGGCGGAGTTTCCGCCGAGTGGTCTGGACACCCTAAAGAGCTACTTGGAGAGCCATGATCTGGCCGGAGTGGGCAATACAAAACAGTGCTTCGTCAAATATCTACCACAGCTGGAACAAGTGGGCGCCACCTGGTCGACGGAGTACAGTGGCTGCCAGCAAAATGCGACCACTTTGCGCAGCACTCTGCTAAGCAATGTTGGTGGCTTCCAGCAAACCATACGAAAGGAAGCATTGCGCATAGGTAGCTATATAGACAGCTGCTTAAACTCAATGAATGTCATCGATTACTTCAACTGCTTCGCCAAATTGGTAAGAGAGCACTTATCAGCTGAGATAACAAAGCCTAATTAGCACCGTTGCATTTCTAGTCCAACCAGCAACTGGTCTCGATGTATTTCATATCCGCAAATGCCTCAGAGATTGCATTGAGCCTTGACAACCAGCTGAATACTATCGATGTGGAGCGGTATATCTGCTCGAATCGCACTGAGGAGAGCTATGTCCTGGGCACAGCACGCATATTTGATGCCTTGGACAAATGCCTAGAGCAGTCAGCAACCTTGGCCAAAGCCACCGATTAAAATCTTTCATATGCTTCACTAAAATCAAATATTGATTTTATTTCTATAGTAGTAGTAGTGTATTCAGTTTAGAGAAGTGGTCAGCGCGGATAGTCGTCGGCTTGGCTGCGACACACTTGTAACTCTTCAAAGGCCAAACGCATGCTGCTTTCATAAGCGACCTGTGCCTCGAGGGTGCACAGTACGAGCGTCTGCTGCACTGAATCGATATCTTCCCGCAGTCGAGTATGTGCACTAGTTGCATTGTGATTGATCTCTACGATTATATCCATATTTTGACTGCCCTGCAATAGAGAAACAGACAGCGAATTCGTTAGTGTTATAACTACACTTGCACGAATGCATTTGATGAAATTGATGGCAATAGGGTAATAAAGTTTTTCAATTGTTATTTTATAGATTAAACGACTTTAGCTATATTTTATTGCATCAAAATTGTAAAGCAAGTGAATTGGTGAGCACTGGTGAGCTTTTTACGCTGTTTAATACAATGATTTATTTCCAGTTGCATAGGGTTTTATAAATTGCAGTCAAAGGCAATGAGTCATTTAGGCCTGCAAGAGTGTTAACTAGTGTTAGATAGTTGATATTTCTTGTTATTCGATTTGGAGTCAAATTATCAGTTTTTTTCCACAGCATTTTCTCATTATCACAATAAGTTTCTTATTATCATTATTCTGTGTTTCAGTAACCGAATTTTATATCGCCATTTAAGCTTGACAAAGAATTTTATACTTATTGCCTTTAGTGATTAGCGTGTTCGTAGAACTATAAGATTGCTGCAATCTCAATACCGTTATCTATACTTCCATTATATGCAAAACACATTTGTTAGATGAAGTAGAACATTTATATATTAATACATTTGTTATTTTATTGGAATTGCTCCAGATGTATTATCTAAAGACGTTTTACACTACTTGAGTATTAATTGTAAAAGTACTTACACTATTCTTCATACACTCAATGTACTCAAAATGGTCATCAAGTTCAGCGCACAGCTCGAAGTTGCCACACAGCGTTCTGCTACCCATTTCGATTTGTTGTCTCTCGAGAGTCTCATCGATGGACAGATCGAGCTGAGTCTCGTTCGCAGTCAGCTCGCACCGCTCGTATTCTGCGGCAAAGGTGCTCGCGGCATTTATGCCAGCCAGCATATATTCATCGTGGCAGTCATCAACTGTTGCGTCAGGCCAGACTGTTGGCACGGCCAGAGTCGCGTCTGTGCGGAAAACTGAGCCTTTTGCCCCGTGCAGGTAAATACCTAAAAGCAGCAACAGTACAGATAGCTGGTACCGGCGACTTTGGGTCTCGCAACCCAAATGCTTTTCAACACGTACCGCACACATTTAGCAATCAATTTTGAATGGCGCCCCGATTGGCAAGCCGGCTGTTGAATATGCTATTGAAAAGATATCTAATTGAATATTTCCTTACAATCAAGCGATAATTATTGGACGCTGACTTAGATTGGTATATCAATAGATAGTTAGAAATTATTAGCCGTGCGCGCATTAAGTGCCTAACAATCCAGTCGACTGGAGTGTTCTCCGGGTTCATGAGCTTGACAGATCTGATGTTACACTAAAACAAATCGATTTGAAAGCTTTTTTTTTGTGTTATTCTCAAAACAATGTAAGTTTATCTAACCGAGTTATGTACATAGTACATATGTATTTGTGTCACTTTAAACAATATTGATAAGCTTAATCACTGAATTAACTCTCTAGTGCCGGAGACCGAATGTTGACGGACATTGGCTAATTTATTACACGCTCTCTTCAATTATTGGTTTTATGACGTTTATTACTCATGCTGATGGTTACAAATGCTGTCACACGCATATATAGTTGAAATGTTGTGAATTCGGATTAATTAACTTTTTGCAAAAAGTTTAAATATCTAATATTAAAGCGCCGTTAAAAAAAAAACTTGGAAATATAATTTGTGCACCTTTAAAAGGTGCTTTCCCGATTTGTATCTTATATGCCATAAATTCTAAGATTTTAGAAAAAGCATTTGTATTCCAGTTCTTAAAAAAAGAGGAAAACACGACTATTATTTCAACACTTAATCAACACACAAAAATTTTATTGGAAACAAAATGGGCTCTTTAATTTTGGTTGCTGCCTTTAAGTATGCAAGGCTTCATCGAACTATGGTATTGTGCAATTATTTATCAACTATATGCTGACAATGTTTATTTGTAACTTGCCTCCATGCTGATTAGTTTAAATCCATTCACTTTACACTCAACAAGAAGCTTAGAAAAAACGCGGAAGCTTGTTCAATGCACTTCGGAAGGTCTCTGGCAACATCTTGCCAATATCCTCCTCTGGCATCTTCTCTGGTGTGGTATTAGTTGGGTTGAGTGGCTGCTCAGTAGGTATAGTTGGTTCAGTATTTGGGGAAGCTGGTGCCTCAGTTGTGGACTCAACTGGTTCCTCGGTGGAGACAGCTGGTGCCTCAGTTGTGGACTCAACTGGTTCCTCGGTGGACACAGCTGGTGCCTCAGTTGTGGACTCAACTGGTTCCTCGGTGGACACAGCTGGTGCCTCAGTTGTGGACTCAACTGGTTCCTCGGTGGACACAGCTGGTGCCTCAGTTGTGGACTCAACTGGTTCCTCGGTGGAGACAGCTGGTGCCTCAGTTGTGGAGCCAACTGGTTCCTCGGTGGAGACAGCTGGTGCCTCAGTTGTGGAGCCAACTGGTTCCTCGGTGGACACAGCTGGTGCCTCAGTTGTGGACTCAACTGGTTCCTCGGTGGTGGAATCAACTGGTTTCTCTGTAGTGACAGGTGGGCTATTAGTTGTTGACACCTCACCGCCAGAAATACAGGTATTGAAATCCGAATCACATTTTTCCAATCCAGTAGCATACTCCAGGCGAGCATCTTCCACGCATATCGTTAGGTCTGAATCGATGATGTTGTACTTGTTACTTATGGTATTGTATTGGGTGTTTGCGTCGCTATTCAATGTGAACATCACTTTGTAACTGTCAGCCGACTGAAAATGATTAAAATCCAATGCGGACAATTATAAAATTATTCGTGAGAATTGCGTGTCATTTCTGTATCAATTTGAATAATTAGAGTATTCGCCTGTTCTCGCAGAAGTCGCAAAATGTTCCAATTGCGCCAACAGACTAAATATGCCCTATTTTCTGTATTAGTTGAAGAATATTCATTTAAAAATTACAGGGAGTTTTAGTCTTGTATATTCGTAAGTAATTATATCTGGGTAGAACGCACAGATTTCCAATTGCTGAGTACGTACCGAAGTCCGATAACAATCGAAAAACTGGAGACCATCAGCGAACGACTCGCAGGAATTCATGCTACTGCACATGTCCTCGCTGCGGGATAGCAAGTCATTGCGACTCTCTTCGCTCTGAGCAGTCAGGGTGTTCTTGTCCGTCTGGGCTGTGGCTACGCAAGCGGTATAGACCTTGTTGTAGTTGGTCAACGTTGCCGTTTGATCGATAATATACTGATTGAAGCAATTGTTGATTAGATTCGGATCATCGGTATCACTGTGGGCCGAGATCAATGAGTGCATGGCCTTCTGCTGCAGCCTCAGGAATGGCTGAAAGTCCACATCCTTGGTGGAGAAAAAAGCGTTGCAGCCAACGGCTAGGACCAAGCATAAAGCAATCGCGAATTTCATCATTTATACTTCACTTTACACTATTTTACAATATAAGATCCGTGAGGATAATCAAACGTGCCAAACTAAAGGGTGGCGATTTAACTGACCGCAAATATATGCTGGCAATGCTTATATAGCCGAAAATAGAGGGAAGCCATGGGCCAAAATTAAAAAAAAAAAAATTGTATATAAAATTAATCAAAAACTCATTTCCACCATGGAGATTGTCTAAGTTTTAATTACTTTTTAACGCATCTAATGAAAAATTAATAACCATCATATCACTAACCCCATTGAACGTTGTCTATATTATCTAATGCAGTGTTATCACGGCCAATACGCTTTTTCCTATACGCAAACAGTAAGCAATAGATAAGGATAACTTCCAGCTTATCGCCATAGGCGCAATTGTTCAAGCTGCACGAGGTAAGACTGTAGTTGGAATTTTTGTCAACCATGAGTAATAACAATTGGTATCACGGGACTCTAAAGTGATTTTCGTGAAACTGGACTTTATCAATTCGATTGTGAATTAATATTGTAACGCATAGCAAATAAATAAAGTCATAATGATCTGTACCTTCAGTTATCAAATTTTATAGCTTATATGGATCGATCGCTAGTTTGGGACCTCGTTACTCTGGGATCTCGCTAATATTGGAATTTTGTGATATCAACAACAAGTTATAAATTTACAATTTTATATTATAAGGAAATTAATGTGAAACTAAGAACTAATACGGGATATAATTCTTTCGATTAAAAATATATTGTATCTTCTGTTATATATAATGATATTTTTATTGAATCAATCTATAGAACTAGGAAAGCATTGCAAATGGTATAATAAACTTCAATAGTGCTTAAGCGATTTCTTCAAACCATTTCTTCATCCCTTAATCAGATTCATCGTCGTTTGCATCATCTATAATAGTAGTTGGAGCAGGAGATGAGGCATTGGTGGGACCCAATGGTTCAAGACCCGAGATACACCTGTTGAAATCTTCATAGATGACAGCTTGTTTCTCCCTTAAAGCGCGCTCTGAAGCGTTGGTGCATATGTATCGATTGTGATCAATCAAACGTAATTCCTCTTGCACCGCAGTCAACAGCTCTCCAGAGTTAGCTGAAATCGAGTACATGGTCTTGGCAGTGTTGCCAGCCTGAAAATATAAGTAGTTCACGTAAAGTATTCGTAAATACGTAAGTTGCATGTGTGTCACGAAGAAGATGAGTAGAATAAAGAGGGTACTCAACTTACCGTATTCGCGTAGCATTCAAAGTAGTCAACGGATCCAGTATTGTTACTGCAGTTAGAAAGAGCAGCGCAGGCGCCGGTCGCAGTGTTATCGATCTCAGTGCGCTTATCCTTCATGTTCTCTTCGAAGAGCTCATGGTTTTCATCGGCGGTGCTCAGGCACTGGGCAAATTCAGCCTTGTAGCCCTCGGCAACTTGATTCACCAGGAGTATGTAGGTGTTAAAGCAGTCGATCAAATGGTCTGAATTATCTGGTTTAATGCTCGGGAGTTCTGCAAGAGCCCAATCTCCAGCTGGGGCACCGCTTGGCTAAGGCCAATGGCCAATAGCAGGATACTCAATTTTGTATACATATTGCAGATCTTTAACACTTTTAGATTTGAGTCGTTCGTTCGCTGTGAGTGTCGGATTCGTTATTGTGGAAATATGGAACCGACTCGATATTTAAGTGATCCTATCCTTAAAAAAAAGTGCAGTGTTTGTTGTAAACTGGTCATATTATGACAGCAATCACTGTTGTATCAATGTTGACCGACGTTATCATTAGCTTACGCTCATAAAGTGTGGTGTAAACAATGTAAATTTAAATAATAGCCCCACACACAGCTTCTTAGCAATCTTTATAGACCTCATTTGATGCCAACACAAATGACTTGCACAATCTTGAACATTGGCGCAAGTTTTGTTATTTCACAAAATTTCCTTGAAAATGTAATGCAATTAAAAATTTTGACAAAACTGCGAGCAAATAGCAAATTGAATAATTTAGAAATATATCTAAAAAAAAAAGTATACAGAGACTATTATTTGACGGCAAATCGATCGACATTGCTAGAAATTAAATGAGATATGATAATTTGTCCCTAAGTAGTTCAGGAGCACTTCGGTAATGATATTGAATTGAGTAAATACCACAATGCAATTTAAATAAAATAAACTTTTTCGTAATTTATTGGTGGAATTAATTAAGAATTAGCTTGGTACACACTTTGATTTAAGCGCATATTAAAAATAATTATTAATGTCACAGGCGTTTTGAGATAGTAATTGATAAGGATCGCTACTAGATGAACTCCAATTCCGCAATTGTATAAGACTCTCGACGTAAGAGTTTAGTTGCTATTTCTATACTTTGAAACGGAAGGTATCATAGTTTTATACTTTGATACCAAAAGTATCATAGTATATTAGTTTTATGCAATGTCTGTCGGTCTGACACCTTTCTTGACATCCTTAGAGATAGAGACTTGAAACTTTGAACATATACTGTGCCCGCGTCAGACAAAGTGTAAAAATTGGAATGCCACCGGGAGGCTAGGAAATCGATCAACTCGATAATGGCATAGAGATAAAGACACATGTCTCCCACAATGTTTAGGGTACTGTCAGATTTGGTTGGTATGTTGCTGGCGATATCCTTCAAAGATCGTTACCTGTTGTAAATCGATAAAACCAAAACCCAAAACCACCAAATTTGAACACTTTCCGCTAAACAGTTTGGTACCACGCCCACTGACGCCCCCAAAAACAATAAAAGCCTATAACTTCCGTAATTTCAGAGCTACAGCTACCTCTTCTAGCAAACTCTTACTAGCAAACTCTTCCAACATTTTGTTTTGACTGCGCCTACTCCCAAAATACACAAAAGCCTAGCTTAAGTTATGTTAAGTTTGACGGTTGCTGACCAAAGTCGACACACTTAGGTAGGCTATTTAAAAACCGTTGTGATACCGTATGCATCTCACTTCCTTTCAAATGCAATCATGTGAGCACGAATCAGGAGGTAGACCAGCCAATTGTATTTATGAAATTAATTAGGATTCATAAGAATTGACTTCCTTGTATGGCGCATCTTTTCCTCGCAAATGCAGGACAGAAGCATAGAAAATGTTCTGGAGATTCTACATCTTCTTCGTCTCTGCAGCTTCTACACAAATCATTGTTGAGTGCTTGAAGGCTGTCGGCATGAATACACACTAACCAGTGACCGGTTACTGCACAAATTGCTCTTGAGTCAAGTGACCAGTCACACAGATTAGGCTAATAACATGATGATTTGCCATCTGGTGTAGAGATTTGCTACAGCTTGTTGCAAAAGTCGAGTTTGACGTCATCGCGCAGATAGATTTAATTGCCGCTTGGCTATCAATATATAAATTTACGTTATAAGAACTAATTTTGGACCTCTTTAGGTAATTTATGGCTATTACTTCTGCCTGAAAGACACTACAGTGTCGCGGTAGGCTGAAGGATAGCTGGATGTTACGCTGTGCAGAGGAAACACTTTCGAGCTTTGAGCCATCTGTGTAGAAAGCCACGCTTACTGGTGGACCGGGCGTTGCGTGAGTCCATTCCTCCCTCAGGGGGAAGTATGTTCTAAAGGGTGTATTGAGTTGTACTACTGGCACACTGTACTCCGTTTTTATCAGAATCGCTGCGTTTTTCAATAGAATAGAGGCATGGCCCGTGTTCTGAGTGACCCATACTGTGAATTCTGATTCCAGACGTGGAATATCTAAGATGGTGTCAGTGTCTAATTTATCGCGGTACCTTGTTAAGCTATTTCTGAGTGGTTTGCTTTTTTAAACAAGGCCACCATACTATAACCCCATATAAGAGAAGGGATCTAATGATTGACAGGTACAACCATCGGACAATATTAGTAGACACACCCCACTTAAGTCCAATGGATTTCCTACAAGTATATAATTTGTGTTGAAGAAGAGAACTAGTTTTGTTTTTGTGGGGCTTACACTTAGCCCGAAACTATTTACACAGGATGATACAATTTTTAGTTTATTTGTTATTAGGTCACATAGAGTTTGGGGGTACTTTCTCTTGAAGATAACCGCAACATCATCGGCATACGCAACAATCTGTCAACCGCATCCATCCATGTCCCGCAGCAGACTATTGAGGGCTATTTTCCATAAGATGGGTGACAGGACGCCCACTTGGAGTGTTCCTCTGCTGACGTACCTGGAAAGAGTTGACGATCCATGCGAAGACTTCACAATCCTGCAAGTGAGCAATTCAGGTCCAGCAGATCTCCAGTTATTGCATCTGGGATAACATTGTTGAAGGCATCCTCGATGTCTACGAAAGGTATTGAGGTAGACTTCTTGGAATATATATATTAAGTCATAGTGATCTGTAACTCCAGTTATCAAATTTTATAGCTTATGCTTTGACCGAGGGAAAGGAAATAGTTGAAGAAATTAATATATATAATATTATGGATCGATCGCTAGTTTGGGACCTCGTTACTCTGGGATCTCGCTAATATTGGAATTTTGTGATATCAACAACAAGTTATAAATTTACAATTTTATATTATAAGGAAATTAATGTGAAACTAAGAACTAATAAGGGATATAATTCTTTCGATTAAAAATATATTGTATCTTCTGTTATATATAATGATATTTTTATTGAATCAATCTATAGAACTAGGAAAGCATTGCAAATGGTATAATAAACTTCAATAGTGCTTAAGCGATTTCTTCAAACCATTTCTTCATCCCTTAATCAGATTCATCGTCGTTTGCATCATCTATAATAGTAGTTAGAGCAGAAGATGAGGCATTGGTGGGACCCAATGGTTCAAGACCCGAGATACACCTGTTGAAATCTTCATAGATGACAGCTTGTTTCTCCCTTAAAGCGCGCTCTGAAGCGTTGGTGCATATGTATCGATTGTGATCAATCAAACGTAATTCCTCTTGCACCGCAGTCAACAGCTCTCCAGAGTTAGCTGAAATCGAGTACATGGTCTTGGTAGTGTTGCCAGCCTGAAAATACAAGTAGTTCACGTAAAGTATTCGTAAATACGTAAGTTGCATGTGTGTCACGAAGAAGATGAGTAGAATAAAGAGGGTACTCAACTTACCGTATTCGCGTAGCATTCAAAGTAGTCAACGGATCCAGTATTGTTACTGCACGTAGAAAGAGCAGCGCAGGCGGCGGTCGCAGTGTTATCGATCTCAGTGCGGTTATCCTTCATGTTCTCTTCGAAGAGCTCATGGTTTTCATCGGCGGTGCTCAGGCACTGGGAAAATTCAGCCTTGTAGCCCTCGGCAACTTGATTCACCAGGAGTATGTAGGTGTTAAAGCAGTCGATCAAATGGTCTGAATTACTCTGGTTTATTGCTCGGGAGTTCTGCAAGAGCCCAATCTCCAGCTGGGGCAACGCTTGGCTAAGGCCAATGGCCAATAGCAGGATACTCAATTTTGTATACATATTGCAGATCTTTAACACTTTTAGATTTGAGTCGTTCGTTCGCTGTGAGTGTCGGATTCGTTATTGTGGAAATATGGAACCGACTCGATATTTAAGTGATCCTATCCTTAAAAAAAAGTGCAGTATTTGTTGTAAACTGGTCATATTATGACAGCAATCACTGTTGTATCAATGTTGACCGACGTTATCATTAGCTGACGCTCATAAAGTGTGGTGTAAACAATGTAAATTTAAATAATAGCCCCACACACAGCTTCTTAGCAATCTTTATAGAACTCATTTGATGCCAACACAAATGACTTGCACAATCTTGAACATTGGCGCAAGTTTTGTTATTTCACAAAATTTCCTTGAAAATGTAATGCAATTAAAAATTTTGACAAAACTGCGAGCAAATAGCAAATTGAATAATTTAGAAATATATCTAAAAAAAAAAGTATACAGAGACTATTATTTGACGGCAAATCGATCGACATTGCTAGAAATTAAATGAGATATGATAATTTGTCCCTAAGTAGTTCAGGAGCACTTCGGTAATGATATTGAATTGAGTAAATACCACAATGCAATTTAAATAAAATAAACTTTTTCGTAATTTATTGGTGGAATTAATTAAGAATTAGCTTGGTACACACTTTGATTTAAGCGCATATTAAAAATAACTATGTTCCGATATACTCCGCCACCAGCCAGGTTGAGTATCGACACGGGTCGCATTACACCTTAGTCCAGCCCTACTTCGAACCATGATATGCTCTTTGCAAAGAACATTTCTGTATGAAGACCATGTCCCAAATTCAGGGAACAGATCTTAGCTAGCATCAGTACCTTGCGAACCAAAGTGATGATATTACCAGTCGGCTCCCACGTGGAGGGTTTTGTTGAGAAATTTTTGTCAAACACACAGAAGCCTATATCTACCATGTAGATATATATAGGCTTATAGATAGATATGGGCTTTTGGGTCTACCGCAATTTTAAATGCATACTAAAAATCTGCTTCAAAGATCGGTATTTCTTGGCTACAGCCAAAGTATTTCGCAGTCGGTTACGCCCGACTGAAACGTTCTCTCTTGTTGTTATAATCGTTGATATCAAGGGGTTTAGTTTTGATTTTGTACAGTTCCAAGTACCTTATCAATGCGATTGTAGATTGATATTGTATCAAGTTTTAACAAATTGCAAGTCCATTGTTATCAAATATTATTTTTTAAATACGTTATTGGAGGCAAAACAAAAGGCAAAAGTAAATAATCTAAGTAAGTCAATTTCTTACCTAGCAAATTATTGGGATTTCCAGGTGTTCGAAGTAAATACATATATTAGATTGTAAGAAAAAGAAAAGATACTTTATCCCACTGTTATTAGTTATTTAAAACACAGTTAAATTATTTATTCGTGTTAAATTATGTCAATTTTATTGAATACCACATAATAAAAGATAGTTGAAGTATAATTACTGAAAGAATTTTAGTTGGTTTAGAAAAGTCAAGTTGTTTCAAATACTATGTTTAATTAAATTGTTACGTAGTGTTATATATGTATATTGGCACTTTGCTTATTTTGAGAGTCTAAGAGCTCCTGAACCATTTCTTCATGTTCTTGACAATTCGCTTGAGATCCTCCTCGGGCATGTTGTCTTCTGTTGCAGCAGTTGTCTCAGCGGTGGTTGGCGCAGCAGTTGTCTCAGCGGTGGTTGGCGCAGCAGTCGTCTCAGCGACGGTTGGAGCAGGAGTCGTCTCAGCGGTGGTTGGCGCAGCACTCGTCTCAGCGGCGGTTGGAGCGGGAGTCGTATCAGCAGTGGTAGGCGCAGTCGTTGGGGCATCGGTGGGACTTGGTGTGGTTAATGGTTCAAGACCCTTGTTACACCTGTCGAAATCTTCAAAGATGGCAGCTTGTTTCTCCACATAGACACGCTCTGATGCGTTGGTGCATTTGTATTGATTGTTATCAATTAAACGGAATTCCTCTTGCACCGCAGCCAACAGCTCTCCAGAGTTAGCTGAAATCGTGTACATGGTCTTGGCAGTGTCGCCAGCCTGAAAATACAAGTAGTTCACGTAAAGTATTCGTAATTACGTAAGTTGCATGTGTGTCACGAAGAAGATGAGTAGAATAAAGAGGGTACTCAACTTACCGTATTCGCGTAGCATTCAAAGTAGTCAACGGATCCAGTATTGTCACTGCACTTAGACAAAGCAGCGCAGGCGGTGGTCGCAGTGCTATCGATATCAGTGCGGTCACCCTTCGTGCTCTCATCGACGCCCTCACGGGATGCATCGGCGGTGTTCAGGCACTGGGTAAATTCAGCCTTGTAGTCCTCGGCAATTTGATTCATTAGGGGTATGTAGGTGTTAAAGCAGTCGATCGACCGGCCTGGATTACTCTGGCTTATTTCTCGGGAGTTCATTATGAACTTCATGAGCCCAATCTCTGGCATCACAAGCTGGGGCACCGCTTGGCTAAGGCCAATGGCCAAAAGCAGGACACACAATTTTGTATACATATTGTAGACTTTTAACACTTTTTGATTTGAGTTGTTCGTTCGCTGTGAGCGTCGGATTCGTTATTGTGGAAATATGGAACCGACACGATATTTATAAGTGAAAATAATGTGGTTGTAAATTTAGGCTTGGCCTTATCAATTGAAAATATCAGTCTTGTCGCTTATCGGACACTTTGCTTGGAAGCAATTTAATATTCGCCGACTAATCCCCACACCACGTCACAGAAATTTTTAAATCTCAAATGAATGATGATTATCAAAAATGTAATAGCTGGTACAAGTCTTATGATTTCCTAAATCTTAATCTAATTAAAAATAGTGTACTTTGTTAAATCGCACAACCTTTTTGAGTCTAAGTATTTCTGTAAATTGTTGACATTGATTGACGTTGAGTTGTACTATTTTTAACTTTTATCTGAAATCAATCAAGTGTTTATTTTCTGGGGAATTTGTTGCATACAAAGAATTGCTCATTTAAGTTTGTTGTTTTTCCTTAGTTCCTTATCAACACGTGAATGTCTTCAGTCTTTGCCATTGGTAAGCTCGCTTATCAGCGCTGATATTCGATAAGCGCTTTTGTGGATGATCACAATTGAAATACAAATATTCAGTAAAATGTTTCTAACTCTTGTGCAAACTCTTTATGCAATATTTAGACTTACACACTGTTTGCGCGATCAGCTTTTTGATAGCTTTATTTTCAATCAATAACACGATGTTATTTCAACGATATAAACTTTATTCAATATATTTAGACTAGAGGACAGAGCTTAGTCTTTTCAACAACAGATTGTTGATTAAAGGGTTGAATACACTCAGCTACGGTAGCAAAAAACGAATAATAAGCTGCAGACGCCGGCGGCTTAGCGAGTGCCCTTTTTCGAGAGAAAGAGAGAGAGAAGGAGAGAGCTAAGGGCCGGCTGCTGCAGCTAAACTACACTTTAGAGAGTGTGCATATGTAACAACAACTATTTATGCTAAGCCGCACAGGGGACAAATTAAATACATATAGATCATTAATGTGATTGTAGCTTCGTTGCTGCTGCCGCCAACGCACACAATAATAATTTTGTAATGGTGAGGGTCAATGATCAATCTCAAAATATTAAATCTTATCTATATGTGTGTCATCTTCAGTCGCTTATCATGCCGCGTGCAGGGGCCGTGCCCCAATTAAAAAACTAATACAATAAAGAAGTCAATGGTTATCAGATTGTAAATCACTTAAGCACTCGTTTCTACCAAATGACAAATTTAAAATAAAAAACACCGTTGCTTAGCAGTTCAGTATATGTGCTATTTTAATTGCGCCACATACATTTTTTTGGCTAAAGTAATTTAAAAAAGGCTTACGTTCACTAACGTCAACGAAAGCAACTCAAATTTGTTAAAGTTATTCAAGCAAACTTAACATTAGCACATAAACCCTAAGTAGACAAGTTAAAAACAAAACAGACAGAAAAAAGGCTTTCTATTTTTCGATCTGAGTTTGGACCTTAAGTCTGCTTTGAAGAACTAAAATTGAACTAGGGACGGTGTTGAATAAGTGTCTTCAATAAATTTCAGTTAAATTATTAATAAAGAGGATATTAAAATATTGTAGTCTCCTATCCTTTCTATATATATGTCTATATATATTCTTATTCAGCATCACTAGGCGATTCGATATAGCTTGCCGCTCTGAGCAAATCTTACAGTTGAGAAAAAATATTATCTACATGGGACTACTTTATACAATAGCTTCCAGAGAAACAAACAGTCGTTTTTTTTTAAATTTATAATTAAATTTATATGTCAGCAGGTATGCAAACTTATGTAATCTTCTGCGTTCCAAAGATGCCGTTCTTTCTTACTTTATTTTTTACCACAAGTGCTGCAAAATCAGTCTGCTTAACTCCAGCGGCTGATATGCGAAACAAAGAAGCGAGGGACGTGGCAGCTACTAATTTGCATATCTTAATTGCATTCTTTGTGTGAAGCTGAACCACCCAAACAGAACTCGAATTGCATTCACTTTTTACATACACACATATACACTGAAGAGTAAACCTTTGCAACGACTTAAATCAGCCGTTAGCTGCATCCTGCGGCAAGGACACGCACCTACACTCTCGACAGTCATTAGCTAGATTTTAGGGGTACAAGTGCGTGAGAGTGTGCAAAGGGCTGTGTGTGTGCATATATATGTGTGTGCAAATGAATGTGTGTGCGCCCACATTTCTAATTTGTTTTAATTGCAGTGACAACAATGCCGCAGGCAAGAAAAGCGACCATAATAACAATCAACACCAAAAGCAAAAACAAACGCAATTAAATTTTAATGACAAAAGATAGCAACGGTTTACTTAAATGTGTAGGTTATCGGACCTAAAGTAACCAAATAAATTTGGCAGGCCCAAAACGGAATTGGCAATTACAAAAAAATTGCAACTAACACAAACAAATTTTAACATTTGCAATCCTTTTAAAGATCTGTATGTATCTGTTACCATCAAAATAAAATATATTTACCTATGATTTCGGATATACATTTTTTTAAACATATTTTTGCTGATTATTCATAACAATCGGATAATAATAAACAAAAAAAGAAGACGCAGCTGCTTAGCTCATCAGACTACAGGGTAATTTTCAGTAAAGTTCCCGCATCGCGCCGACCTGATCACCCTGCAGCCGTTAATTATGTTACACTTACAAAAGTTCAATTGGTTTAGTTAAGTTTAATACAAAAGTTGTCAGTGAGCCTAATCTAGGTCAAACACTTTTGCACTAACGGCGACTAGATTACAAAACTTTTCCTCCCAATAATAACCAATGTCAGTCAGTTTATAATATATTTAATGATGACCTTGACCAGTACAATAAATTTAATCCAGGAAGCTAGTGATTCGATGAATTTAATAACTTCTTGAGGTCAGAGCTCAGGCTTCGTGCTGAAGAGGTTGTGAGCGTAACCGTAAGTCCAACGTCGTCGTAGGCACAGCTAGTGAAATATTGTCTGGAACTGCAGGACTTGTGATTAGATCATATGTGGTTGTATATGAAGCAGGTGTGGTTGCAACTGAAACTTCATAGCCACGTCAGTGCCTTCGCTGGCAGTTACAGTTGTTTTGGTCGATGTTGTCGAATCAGACAACAGTGGACATCAGACAATCAGTGGACATAGGCCTTGTCTTCAGTTCATAGTGGTCGTGCAATGCTCCTCTGTGAATGCTCCTCATTTCAATGCTATGCGAGAGCTGGCCATAATAACACCGGGTACTGCTGGAAATGTTATACATCACTGTCACATCATCGTTGCCCTATTATGAAAAAATAATAGATATATAATTATACTTGTTTTTCCCAATATGCAAATTATTAGGGTACAGAACAGCAAATGTAGGTCAAGTTGCTAACATTTATTTCGATTAGTTAAATTCAAATTCCAATTTATCTACAAATTGTATTTTTATTGAACTAAGCAACTCAATTCATTTGTCGGGCATTATCAATTGCGTGAATAATTGATCGACACCGGTGAACCGTCTATGCATTCAGTGGGTGACTAAGCAATCTGAACGAATTTTTATTTATAAAAAAAATTCTCAGAAATATCACTTCGTTTTTATGGAGAACAAATAAAATAACAATAGATTGCGAGACTATCGCCGGTTCTTGAACAATTTCGTAGAAATGATAATAAATATTCGATTCCACTGGCTAATTGGAAAATTTAATTGAGGGAATCAAAACAAGGTAGAATAAGTTAAGATAGATGGAGAGGCACTTGATATAATGCGTAGCTCATAAACAGCAGGCAAAATGCGCATACGAATTTCAATTGTGTCTCGTTCCTCATTTTCCTCCCCACAAATTGGAAAGATAAGCGTAATTCATTCCCATTTTTGCACAATGCCAGCAATTTTTCAGCAACGATTCTTCTCTTCACATCCCTTTTGGCCAGCAGCTGCCTGTACTTACAATGCATTTTCAATTTTCGAATTTTCAGCGCTCCGCGCTATTTGATGCATGTCGAGCTCCATCTCGTTTGCAGCAGCCGGTCTACCGGGCAAATGATTAATTTTATTTACTTAAAAGCAAACATCGCTGCATACTAAGATACAGCCGATGCTGAAGCTGGAACTGCATAACGATTGCGCCTGCAACCACAGTGGGCGCCCATGGCTGCCACTTGGAAGAGCTGTCAGCGGAAATGGAGTTGTGGCAAATGCATCACCGCTCTTTCGACATTGAGTTACGTTGAGTTAACTCTTGATGAATTCTCAGACATCAGGGCACTAAGCAACTGACAACTGAGTGCCAGAGCTTCGGGCGGTTTCACTCTCTTTAAGTAGTCCTCAAATTGTTATTTGGCACCCAAAATGGATAATCAAGCACTTTTGTCCTTTAGCTACACAATATTAACCTAAACTTTTAGTTAGCAAAGTGACTCACTAATTCACAGTTATGATGAAGTCTGATTAGAATTCAATTCACTTATGGCATTATTTTGTCAAGCCAATTTTAAAACAGCATATTTTGAATTAGTACTGTGAGGAACATGCGATTTGCGTTATCATGTACCGATAATAAGACTAGCACTTTAGCGATAAGTTCTACCATTTTATTTTCAAGGAACACTCAATGAAAATACGGTTTAATAACACTTTAAAACTGGACATCTAATGAAATTTACAACCTCAAGATTAGATTCCGTAGTAATTATTGTTTTTCTTTTCTGATCTCTTGCTTGCTCGCTCCAGTAACTAAAGAAACATTTGTAACAAAATTAAACTGCAGAGTTTAGGAATCCCCTTCTGACGATAACATTTAAGACTATTTTTTTAATTTATAACGTGTAGACTTTTTCAACTTCGTCATCACTTCCTCTTATCACGGTGTGATTTTATTTTCAACTGATTAAACTAATTTTCGTTTAAGCTCCATTCAAAATTATTTGTTTGAATAAACTGGTGTGATATGAAGTGATATTTATTATTAGAAAAAGTAAAGTACCTTTGAGAACTCGAACTCTGTGATTTGGAATTCACATTTTAAGGTATAATTAGTTTAGTAATTGTGAGTGTATTTTACGACTTTCCTGTTTTGATTTTTGATAAAAGCGATAGCTAAGTAGTAGTAAACAGCTAAGTAGCATGTTTTGCGCTGATTTGTTATTTACGATAATTATATAATTAATCTTATTATTTATAAATTCGCCTTGGTAAATTTTTAGCATGTACATAAACTGTTCAGATAAAATGCATTGCAATATTTCCTGATTTTAAATAATGAAAAAGGAAATTATCTTTTATAAATTAAGATACTTTATTAACAAAATTAGTTTGATTAATAATTTATGCCCAATATGTGTATAGAATTTAATCAATTTGCTTAACACCTCACATCTAGAATTTTCCACCTTTATAGCGGGTTTTGATTGTTATTACAAGATTCCTTAGTTCCTGATACCCAATTAATAGGTCTATAACTATCAGGTCATTATTAAAAAAGGCTATTATATGTCATAAAATTAGGTAAGAGCCGTCAGCTGACAAACGTGGTATAATTTCTAATGAACCAAGGGCAAGCCAATATAATTTGCGATAATTATTTTTACTACTCGCATTTCGTATACGCATTGATGTCACTCCTATTTTTATATAGTATTCTATGTGTAGTCAACTGCTATGCGGGCGGAAGCACAACAACGCAAATTGTTGTGTTGCAATAACAAAAGATTTTACGATTGCAATAACAAGAAGTGCCCGCAATTAAACAGGCCATCATGGTAACTGGATGGATATGGATAGAAGTAAATTGATGTGGATGAATGTGGCTAGCTTGTGGGCTGCTTGTCGCTGCTGTTTGGCTTGGCTGTTGTCCGACCATCAATAGGAGCCAACGACATAAATACATATAGAAATGAAGTTACAAGCAGACACATGGAAACTGAAATAGAATTAGAAATCGCAATTTTAGTTGGGTGGTGGTCATAAAACTTACCAGCGCTGTGGCACGCTTCGAGTTTATGAGTGCGCGTGAAATTCAATTAAAACGCGTGATCAATATTGGTGTGTCTGCTATGCAAGCCATAAAGCAGCTTATTGTGTATTATTGAAGGGCATCAGCAACCCAGCCACATCCAGCAACACATGCAGCAGCAGCAACAGCAACTGACACAGCAGCAACCGCAGCAGTCACTGATGATCGTTCAACTCCTGCTGGCGGTTTCACACAGTTTTCTATACCATGCAAAAAAAATATCTGAAATGGGAAGCTTTTTGCTCTATGTTACTCCTATTATTTGGTCGCCGTCGATCTAGAATTTAAAAGTTTAGATCTGGCCAAATTCATCCATTCGAATATCTTGTTTGATTTTAGTTTAAATTAAATTTGACCTTATGAGTAAACTCAATTAATCAATAGAGACTGTAACAGCAATAATGAGCTAAGTTCGATGTCTTCTTTTGTGTTAACCATGGAAATTCAACACCAAATTTAGTTAAGAGAAAATACAGATTTATGTTATTTAAGCCAGGTAAACCAATCTACACGGTATCTTCCACGTACACCAATTATTCAATTGCTTTGTATGTAAATGTCAAGCGCAACAGTCAACAGCCAATAGTTTTTTATGTGTTCTATGTCTTGTGGGCGTTGTTCACTAAAGTATGTGCGTCAATTTTCGCTGATTACCCGTCCCAGTCATGCTGTCTATAAAGATTATATGCTTGTTGAAATTAGATAACACATAAAAAAGATATGTATATATATATATATATAGCAGACATAGCCAGCAAGCGGAGCATTCAGTCAATTCGGCTGGCTTTGCGAAATTAATTAAGATAATGGCATGAAAAATATAATGAACTTGTCAACGCCCGACAAAGCGGAAAGTGTCCCTAAATGCAGCTTATTGTAAAAGCACTTCAAGTTTTATTCGCCAACCTGATATACTACCAACTTACCAAATAGAAACTGACTGCAGGCATCTGGTATAAAGTGCAGCTGCGGATGGAACGAATACAGACAGGTGCATTATAATGAAAACTTTCGCTTTGTTGCACATTAAGCACACAACATGACCAGCTGCCAAGTGGCTTACTGCCTGCTCCTTACTACAACTTAGCAACTAGCAGTCTGGACGTGAGTGTAAGAAATAGAATACTTTCTAATTACATTTTTAAGCTTTGGTGAAAAATTAGATGTGTTCCTGCCTCTGTTGCGTGTAATTGCTATTGTTATTAATCGTTCTTGTTTATATAAAAAAAATGCAATCTATATATGTATCAAAAATTTAAATTATCTTTAAAATTTCTGAAGACAACTTAAATCTTCTTTTAAGAAACTTCTAAATACAATAACATATTTTTAGGGGCTATACTCTGAATTAAAATATTTTCCATTTATAAAACATGTTATATTTATATTCATTCATATCAAAAGAAATAATTTTTAAATAATTTTAAACTTATTTGTTCAAAACAATAAAGCCAAAATACAAAAAAAAATAGAAACTGTCGAGAAAACGAGTCTCTAAGATGTCAACTGCATTTACTCAGGAGTAAACAAATAAGAAAAAAAATGGTAATGATGCGCGATGTGAAATGTCAAATGTTGCGGCTGCCATAGAGTAAGCCTGGTCATCAGCAAAAGCCGCAAAACAAAAGGAAATCAATTAAAAATATTGGTGGTAGGAAATATGTTATTGGCCCAAAAATATACAACTATAAAGGCAACAAAACAGAGCACAGAATACCGATATTTATGCATATGCTTTTAATTGGTTGTTGGTATGTCCGAGACTCACATTTAAATTAAAAAAAAGGTTAAGAATTTATAACTAGCTTATAGTCGGCTTCATCGACGTAAACTGTATATGCAATAAAAGTCAGCAAAATCAAATATTTATGTGCAACTCCAGCAGCAGCCAGTTAAATTCCCAGCTAGAAACTCGAAATACAAAATGAACTGAAACTCATACACAAATAACACACACTTCCAACAGCTCCAGCTGCGATAACTGTCAACTATTTAATATTCTTACCTAACTTATCACATCGGGAGGGCCCGGAATACCGCTCAAGAGGTGTAAACTATTTGCACTGTTGACAGATGGCTCAAGTGTGCGAGAATTCCTTTGAAATGAGCAATTCTCAAGTGAGTTGTCAATCAAATTAAATGCTGAAAGGTATGTCATATATTTTCATTTAGCAGCAATGGAAACTTACAGTTGCTAACTTTTCAGCGTTTCTCATAATTGCTTCTACTTGATGTATATGTTTGTTTTATGTGAGTGTATTGTGCTCTGACAATATATTTATCAAAACTGATTGTAGTCCGCAAGCCTTACCATATTAAAAACTTACCTAATTGAGTTACAGAATTTGAAAATGAGATAATGATACGAAATATTAAATAACACCGTTTCGATTCACGCCTGGTACTTAAAGATGAAAACATTTCTGTAGTCGATATTTGAATTGAATGGAATGTTAAGTACAATAAATAAACTTTAAATAAAGACTGCGTAAGTTCAGCTTTTGACTGTGAAGAAAAGAAACATAGATTTTTTCTAATGGATTTTGAAAACTTATTTGCAGACTGCAATACGCACTTTAAACAAAAGCTATGAATTCCCATGCATTCGATAAGCAAATTCGATTGGATTTGATTTGAATAATATATACAACAATTTTGTGAAACAAATCAAAATGCAACATAATTTGAATTCCTAATTATTATACGTATAACTATTTGTGTGGTATAATGCTTGAATTAAAGGTGGCAGTACAAAGGGTGCGGTGTATTGAAGTATTAGCACGGAAGTGATTAAATTTGCGTCGACGCTACGCGTCGTAGTTATGATAAACTCGCCACAGTGTTCCAAGCTATGCCTCATAAATCAAGCCAAAATTCAAATGTTATCAGCATGCGGAATATTTCCAAACTACGTAATAGGGGCAACGCAATGTATATTTATGAGTGTGCATGTGTGTTTTCCAGTGTGATAGATAAGCAAACGGGCTGCTGTCCAGTAAGCTGCTGCCACTGCAGCGGCAGCAGTCCCTCCTATATACTACAGTTTCCTTAATAAGGTTCGTCTGTGTCTGTGTGCTTATTCTGAAGTTAAATGAGTTGATTTGTTTTCTACTGCGCCTGCTCGCTGGATCAGCGCGTAGTCGATTTGCCATGGAAACTATGCAGATTCCTTGTATATTGGCTGACGTTTATATAGCCAGCGAGATAAGAGCAGCTGCTACTCGTGTATTGCATTAAATAATTGCGTGTTGGCAGCAACAAATTCGCATTTGGCTAAGGGCTTTTCCCACTAACAATGTGACGGGTTACCAGTGACAACTGCGCTATGCTATACCCACACACACACACAAACACACATACACAGCCGCAAACAGGTGGCATGGCTAACAATAGACGGCAGCACTTTTTTATATAAATATAAAAGTCGCTGCCTACTTTGAGGCGCTGCGCTGCGTCAACGAGCGCAGCATTATAAATGGCCATACTCGCACTTGTTGGCCACTCATTCGCGCCACTCCAAGCATACCGCAAAAAACTCGAGCGCGATTCCAACTCCATATTCAAATAAAGATCACACGACGCAAACGTGTGAGTGGAAATATAATTGTAAAAAGCATTAACTTAAACATTTGCAAAAAAAATAGTTACGGTTTTTTTTTGAACACGTTGCGTATACTCTAAAGCAAAGCTTTAGCAGAAGTTTCTTCATTTCGGACAAGGCAAATCGGTAACACACATACGTCATGGTATCCAAGACATTGGTAAGTACAGCCGTAGTGGCCAAAACACGTACAAAAGCTTCTTGCATAAAATTATGGAAATCAGAAATCAAATAAAAAACTGCATGAAGAAAATACGTTTTATTAAGTGAGAAAGAAAATAAGTAATTTTGATTTTTTGGCCAAATGAGCTAGAGAAACCTAGCTTAATTTTATTTAAATGTATACTGAATATAGACATAAAAAAAAGTGATAATTAAAGCTAAACTATACACAAGAAATCAATGAGCATTTATTAAATGGGTTAAAACAAAACTCTATTGAAGAAATAATTATTTAGCTAAATAAGTTAGGTTTAGTACAAAAAAAAATCATTTCAATAAGGGATGCATATTTTCGGCGCAATGGTACATGAAATGGCAGGTGCTGGCAGAATGCAAACAGAAATTGAATTAATGCCATGCATCAAGCGAATTGCTGACTAACAAAGCCGTCGGACATCTATCCACATGGACACACACACACACAAAAACCAGCAGCAGCTGCTGTGCACGCACAAACACATACATGGATATGGTTAGAAAATTGCAAATTAACAAAAAGGCGTTTAGCTTGAGTTGGCTAAAAATTAGCTGAAAATCCAACAAGAAGTGTGTGTCTGTGTATATGAGAGCATGCATGCATATACGCATTTATTGTTGGAATGGATACGAATTAGTGTTTCTACTCGACATTTTGTCCAACAAAAAGCAGGCCAGACTCAAACAAACAGCCAGCACATTTGGCCCAAATCAGAGTTGAGCTGAGAGCTGGAAGCCGACAACTGACAACAAAGTGTGTAGCGGCAAATGTCATTCATCTGGTAGAGAAGCAAGAAAAGCCAGCTGCTAACAACAATATGCAAAACTAGAAATCAAAAATGCTTTAATGAAAAAAGAGATTGCGAAAAAAGGAAAATAGATAGCAGCAAAGGGCTGTGCAGAACTGCACAATTTCACACCAGCTTTCCAGTAGTGAGTGCAATAAACGATGAATAAAAAAAATAATTAGACAGCAATTGGCACATGCACCACACAGTTGTTGCTTAGTTGCATGAATTCCACTGAATATTTCAGAGTTGTGCAAAAAAAAAAACAAACGGAAAAGTCTACTACACAAAATAAATAATATAAAAAATTGGTACTGTTATGCAATATGCATGTGTTTATGCGCATATTTTATGGCGTACTTTTTGGCACACACGCACACTCGCTCACACAAATAGTGCACCATTTCACCTGATCCACCGCAATTTGCGTTTGCTGCCAAAAAATGTTCAAACTAAACGCCACATTTTCCATTTCTCCATTTGGAGTGCTGGCAACATGAATTCCATTGCAGCTGCCAGAACAAACACACCAAATAAAAAAGCGGTCATGCTGAAAAGAACAGTGAACTGTGTGTCTGCCGCAGCAATTAAAATTGAATGCAACTCAAGACCGCAACATGTCAAAGGGAACAAATTAAAGTTCAATTAAAACACAACGTAAAAATCAACATTTACTCTTTTTATTGTTGACAGATAACGAAAAGTATGAATATTTTAGTTAATCTTTTCAGTGAAGTTTTGTTTCTAAATCATGGCTCATTTATTCAATCAGTTATCAAATTCAATGCAAAATATTACGATGAATTTCATGTTGAACTCTTTGGATATGGATGCCTTGATAGAAATGACGTAATATATATGCGTTATCTATTTACCGTCACCAAAAGAGCAAACAGACAGCATCCACCCAATGCACAGAGGGAGACGTTGGCAAATCAAATAAATTTTGCAATTAAAAGTTGCACTCCTTCGAAAACATTTGTCAACGTAAATAAACGTAAATTAAGTTTATTTTGCATCTCGTTGCGCAAATTTTCTTTACCTTGTTTCCCAATTTCCCCCAGTTGCCAGTTTTTGTTGGTGTTACTTTTCTGTTTTCTTCTGTTCTGTTTCTTTTTTTTTTTGGTTTATTTCTTTGGTGTTGTTAGTCCGCTGGTCGCATTTTCTGTTTTGTTTGCTAAATAGAAAGCGGAAGCTACGGAAACAAGTGTAGGGGTGTGTGTGTGTGTGTGTGTGTATGTGCTTTCGCGTATTGAGTCAGGTGTTGAGGTGTGCAAGGGATGGGGTTAGGCTGCCAAGTAAGGGGAGAAAGTCAGGGACGTTGCTTCCGCAAAAGGTGTAGCTCGCATTTCATGTTGTTTTAATTACTTTGTGATTTATTTAATATACCTACAATGGCACACACATACACATAAATATGCACAAATTGTGCTTGTTTTTGTTGCATGTTTTAGTCCATTGAATGGCTTAGTACATTGTGCACTGAAATTATTATTGTCATCTGGGCGAGTCCACCCCAAAAAACTAATGGCATAATAGACAAAAATGGCCACGCATGGAATGCATCCAAATATTTTGAAACTAAATCGTTGTCTAGCTGTAAAATTATATTTACATTATTTAAGTGCAATGTCAGAGACCCAAAAACGTGGCCTCATTCTAGCAACAACCAACAACAACAACAAATGCCAGCACGTTGTATGTGCGCAAATGAATTAGGCAGCTATTTTGCATCCAAAATGCTGTTGTGCAGGTAATTTTATAACAAGTCCAACCAACACTACCAACAACTCCCCGCCCACCACCTGCATCCACAGAAAATTGCCTAACCGAAACGCTGACCAAAATGTGCGCAACATTTTCGAATGTTTATTATTTCAAGCGTGCTTGTTAATTGGTATTATTGTTGCAGTAAGGCCCGCACGTGATAGGCGAAGTGCATCTCTTTAGGCTTTCATTTTAATTTCGGTTTGGCTGGCAGTCGTGGCCTTAACTCCAAACAAAACACTGTGTGTGGCTTCTGCAACACACAAAACAATTCAAAGCAACAAAAGCAAACGCAAATTGCATGCTTAAAATTCGACACATGTTTCCGTTAAAGCACTTTCCGGGAAAGGACACATGAATCATTTTTGAAACCCCGGGCATAGACAGATACAATTATATTTCAAACATTAATATTTGACATATGAATGATTATTAATGTTGAAGTATATGTATGAGAAATTGGCTCGATTTATAAAGAATGATAAAAAGATGCAATATTTTGAACAATTCTTAAATTGTATATCTGGTATTAATTTTTTCCAATTGATTTCGACTTTATCTAAAAACAGATCTTAACCTTATTATACTACATTTGTGTGAATATTTCCAACTGATTGGCAGAAACTACAGCTGCAAGCATACCTAAATATTATTCGTATATTTACATAAATTTCTTTTTATTCGGAATATTTCATTCGCTTAGAAAGCCCCATTAAGATGCAAGAAAAGTTTGTTGTGACTGCCATGACAATTATAATGTTAATTAAGTGCAGCTGGCAATTTTCAACTTTATGGGCACATTGTTAATTAAAGTAAAAGCGTAAACAGAATTATATAAAAACCTTTTATTCTTATTGTTGGTGGGGGTTAGGAGTCCCCGAATAAGCCACATCACATGAATGTATATTAATATTCGTAAAAACTGAAAACTGCATATTGCACGCATGCTCGAAAAAATAATTGCAATTCAAATCCGTTTGCATACAAAGTAATGCAATTAAATTGCAAAATTTTTGGTTGGCACTCGCATAACCAATTAAATAAATATACCTATACACACAAACTTTTATAGGTGTACGTGTGTGTGTGTGTGTGTATGTGTATGTGTGTAATTTGCCCGTCTGCACAATTACAAAACTAATGCCATTTAATTAAGTTCACACGTGCCACAATTAAATCTTCAGCACTAATTGATGAACGTGTGTAGAAACATGTCCTGCCAAGGCATTTTTAAGCGTAGCCACTCAACGCCCGCCACGAAAAAACTACAGCCAAATACAAAATATTTCTCACGTAGTCAGCAAAGCAAAACAAATAAACGAGCGCCAAAGGTATACCAAAAATTGTGAAAGCTACTGAAATCGTGTTAGGAAATCATAAACAGTTCTCTTTTTTTCCCACGTTGTATCCTTTCTGAATTAGGCACACATCCACACACTCAAGCACATCCAAACACAAACTCTCATCCATATATGGTGATGTGCTTTCTTTGGATGCCCCATATTTTGTTTGGTCCTTTAGCCCTTTCTACCCCAACTTCGTTTGTTTTGTTGCTGCTTGCATATTTGGCACGTTTGCGCCTCGGCCTTGTCCTGAACTGACCAGTTCCTGGCTAAGTGGGCGTGTCAACCTTCCGTTTGTGTGTGTCTGAGTGTTTTTCTTTCGGTGAGTTAGTGCCATTTGTTTTGTCCAGCCTCCGCCTTCGCTTCAGCAGAAATTCGAAAATTATTTAGCAAATTAACACGCTGACAAGTCAACTGTATTGAAGTGAACGTGCCCTGGGCCCCGGCCCTAAGTTATGTGACCAGATTGCCTAAATTTATGTATTCCATGCATTTGCCTTAACTAATAAACATAACACGCACACCATTTTCAAAGCCTGCCCACCTGAAGAGCCTGTCTTAAGTATGCGCAACATGCGAGACCATTAAAGTAAATTCTACCATTGTTTTCAAAACACACAAAGTTTTTGCCACACTTTCCGGTCTGGCCGAACACAGACTTTCATTTGCAATACACACACCAGCTGCAACGTGATGTATCCAAGTAATTGTTGCATGACTACAAAATAGTTTAAATAGCTCTTGTTCGGTGTAAGCAGATATTGTGCAAAGTGAGCAGGATAGCTGAAAAAGCTTCTTGACAGCTTTAACAGGTGAAAACAAAAGATTCAAATTTATGTAACTAAGCTTCCAATAGAAAGATAGTTTTATTGAGTTTGCAAATTACTTTTGATTAAATCTTACTAAAATAATAAATTGGACTTGCTTTGTTCATAGTCAATCTGTAGGATTTAATACCACATATAAAACAAATATCTTAATTGCCAGACTTAGGCTTTTCTAATAAAAGAAGTCCAACTATTATGTCAATTGCTACAAGCATTTTTATTGCTTTACTTTGTCAA